CCCACGATTGGAATGTAATAATGGGGGGATACAATCTATTTCAGAGAAACAGACCAGACAAGAAAGGAGGAGGAGTGGTGTTATATGTCAGGGATATGTATACCTGTGAAGAGATCCAAGATTTAGAACCTCAAAGCCAAAGTGAGAGCATTTGGGTCAAAATTAAGGGAGAGAAGAATAACAGTGACCTCATTGTGGGAGTTCACTATAGATCCTCAAGCCAAACGGAGGACATAGATGATGCCTTCCTGGAACAGATGGCCAAGCATGCAAAAGGGAGATAGTAGTAATGGGGGACTTCAATTACCCGGATATTTGTTGGATGTCAAACTCAGCCAAGAGCATAAGGTCAAACAGATTCCTCACTGGCCTTGCAGACAACTTCATTGTCCAGAAAGTAGGAGAAGCAACAAGAGGAACAGCCATTTTAGATCTGGTCCTAACCAATGTTGATGACCTGGTTAGTGGGGTAGAAGTGGAAGGATCATTAGGCGCGAGTGATCATGCTCTTCTGAAGTTTACTATACAGCGGAAAGGAGCAGCCAAGCATACTAGGACTCAATTTCTTGACTTTAAGAAAGCCGACTTCATAAAACTTAGGGAAGTGCTGGGTGAGATCCCATGGACAGTAATACTAAAAGGAAAGGGAGTTCATGATGGCTGGGAGTTTGTTAAGAGGGAGATAGTAAAAGCACAACGTCAGGCAATACCAATGAGACGGAAACATGGAAGGTGCCTAAAGAAGCCAGGGTGGCTATCTAAAGAACTTTTAACTGAGTTAAGATTAAAAAAGGATGTGTACAAAAAATGGAAAAGGGAACCACCAAAGAGGAATTCAAACAAATAGCCAGCACGTGTAGACACAAAGTCAGAAAAGCTAAAGCACAGAATGAACTCAGGCTTGCTATAGAGGTTAAAAGCAACAAAAAAGGCTTTTATGGGTATGTTCGTAGCAAAAGGAAGAACAAAGAAACAGTGGGGTCACTCAGAGGAGAAGATGGTGAAATGCAAACAGGGGACACAGAAAGGGCTGAACTCCTCAATGCCTTCTTTGCCTCAGTCTTCTCCGATAAAGAAAACAATGCCCGACCTGAAGAATTTGAAGCAAATGATTCAGCAAAGGAAACACAGCCCAGAATAACTAAGGAGATAGTACAAGAATACTTGGCTAGTTTAGATGTATTCAAGTCTCCAGGGCCAGATGAACTGCATCCAAGAGTATTAAAAGAACTGGCAGATGTGATCTCAGAACTACTGGCAGTCATCTTTGAGAATTCCTGGAGAACAGGCGAAGTCCCAGCAGACTGGAGGAGGGCAAATGTTGTCCCTATTTTCAAAAAGGGAAAAGAGAGGACCCAAATAATTACCGCCCAGTCAGTCTGACATCAATACCAGGGAAGATTCTGGAGCAGATCATTAAGCAAACGGTCTGTGAGCACCTAGAAAGGAATGCTGTGATCACCAATAGTCAGCATGGATTTCTGAAAAATAAGTCATGTCAGACTAACCTGATCTCGTTTTTGACAGAATTACAAGCCTGGTAGATGAAGGGAACGCAGTGGATGTAGCCTACCTTGATTTCAGCAAGGCATCTGACAAGGTGCCCCATGATATTCTTGTAAAGAAGCTGGTAAAATGCAGTCTTGACTATGCTACCACTCAGTGGATTTGTAACTGGCTGACTGACCGAACCCAAAGGGTGCTCATCAATGGTTCCTCTTCATCCTGGAGAAGAGTGACTAGTGGGGTGCCACAGGGTTCTGTCTTGGACCCGGTCTTATTCAACATCTTTATCAACGACTTGGATGATGGACTCAAGGGCATCCTGATCAAATTTGCAGATGACACCAAACTGGGAGGGGTGGCTAACACCCCAGAGGACAGGATCACACTTCAAAACGACCTTGACAGATTAGAGAACTGTTCAAATATATAAAAGGATGTCACATAGAGGAGGGAGAAAGGTTGTTTTCTGCTGCTCCAGAGAAGCGGACACGGAGCAATGGATCCAAACTACAAGAAAGAAGATTCCACCTAAACATTAGGAAGAACTTCCTGACAGTAAGAGCTGTTTGACAGTGGAATTTGCTGCCAAGGAGTGTGGTGGAGTCTCCTTCTTTGGAGGTCTTTAAGCAGAGGCTTGACAACCATATGTCAGGAGTGCTCTGATGGTGTTTCCTGCTTGGCAGGGGGTTGGACTCGATGGCCCTTGTGGTCTCTTCCAACTCTATGATTCTATGATTCCTTTCTCTCCCCCCAACCCCGCTTCCCAAGGGGTGGGAAGGAACTCAGTTCCTGTCACCTCAGACTCCACCTCTTCTTTGCTTTACTTAATGCCTCATCATGTTCTTTGTTTCTATTGCTTCAACCACAGTCAGAGCTCAAGCACTTATTCCTGCCTGGCAAAAGCACCCAAGAATAGTGCAAAGCAGGAGCAATAAGGGAGGATGTAATCTCTCATACCTGCATGCTACTTCTGTGAACAGCCATAAGTACAGTGCTCAAGTACAGTGGATTTAGGCCGTTGGGCCTTTTCGCAGCCCAACTAAATCCTACTTAGGGCAGACCCTTTGAAATCAATGTTTGGATTTTTAATTCATTTCAGTGAGTCTACTCTGAGTAGGCTAGCACCCAAGGCAACCGTGTGTGTGTGTGTGTGTGTGTGAGAGAGAGAGAGAGAGAGGGGGGGGGAGGGAGGGAGATATGTAAATTTACATAGCAGGAGGAGGGCAAACGAGGGCTGAGAGCAAATGTAAAAAGGATGGGACAGCTGCATATTCCTGCATTCCAGAGGGCTGGACTAGATGATCCTCAACAGGGTCTCTTCCAACTCTACAATACCATAATTCTAGGGGAAAGGAGCCAAAAGGGCAAAATCGCTTCCCAAAAGTGTCTTTCCACGTGAGAAAGGATTTAAAGCGAGGAAGGAAACAGCTAAGCTGGGAGATGTGGAAAGGTCGGAGGGGGAACGCATGCACACACACACACACACACACACACACACACACACACAGATGAGAGTTTAGAGAGACAGACAGACAGACAGAGAGACAGAGAAGGAGGAAAGAGTTGCCCTGTTAATTAGTTCGCAATTTCAAAAACACAGCCCATTACTCAAGAAAAGAAACCCGTGAATACCTGAGTGTAGGTGCTTAAGAGATACTGAGTGCGTGGCAGCGAAGAGAGAAGCGGCTCCATGCAGCTCCCAAGTGCTGGTGGGACGTCTCGCTTTTCCCTCTCGCCTGCCTCCCGGCGGTGGCTTTAAGGGCGATGCCTGAGCCTGAGTGGGTTCAGGGGGCAGCAGCACAGGCACACGCTCCCCCATCAACGGGGGGGACGACGACCCCGTGGAACCGCCAGTGCAATTCTTGCATATTTCCTCTGACCTTAGAGGCAGAACAAAGCTATGCTGACTCCTTATCCATACGCTCTCCACTACACAGCGTCGAGTTCAGCCGCGTTTCACTGCATTTGTTGACTGAACACCCCCCTCAGTGATGACACCCAGGACAGCCTGCACCCACCACTCTTCCCTCCCTACGCCACTGGATCCTGTGAGCAAGTATTGCTGGGGTGGGGCCCCTCAGGCAGGTAGTCCCCAAAGTGGGAGAAGGTGATGGGGCTGGCTGATTGCCAGCATCCCCCAGCCCCTATAAATCTTTGAGTTAACCTGCCAGGAGGGAGAGAGAACATGCTGTGTATTAGACTTGCTGCTTGATGTTCTGTAGCTGGTGCCAGGGAAGGAGCCAATGAAGCTTGGTAACCAGTTTGGTGCCTGCGTGTGATGGATTAGTAGCTTGGAGGGAGGACTCGGGAAAGCGACCCCCTCCTTGACACAGGCCAATGGCCCAGCATCCTGTTCTCACAGTGGCCAGCCAGATGCACAGGGAAGCATTTATTCAAATGTAATCTAATTGGAGATTTTTGTTTGACACTGTTATGCCTAACCCTGACCTAGTACAAGACACAGAGTACTCAGAGGATGACTCAGACACCCCACAGGCTGAGGAGCTTGAGGAGTACAGGAACCAATTATGAGGACCCCCCCCCCGAAGGGCCACCCTTGGAGCTGTCTGTGGACCCCCCCTCCAGTGCTCAACAACACCGGCACCAAAATATCCAGGACAAAAATGACAACATAACATGTGTCCTTGGATATCTTTTAATATCTTTATGCGCCCCCTTGCCCAGATTGTCTGAAACTTTGGGCTGGGCTGTCATCAATATGCAGATGACACCTAGCTTTATCTGTTGATGGACGGCCATCCTGACTCGGCCCCGGACACACTGACCAGATGCTTGGAAGCTGTGGCTGGATGGCTGCGTGGGAGCCGGTTGAAGTTAAATCCTTCAAAGACAGAGGTCCTCTGGCTGGGTTGGGACAACATGGGGTTGGGGGCCCAACTCCCATCTCTTGCGGGGGCTCAATTAGTGCCAGTGCACTCTGGGTGTAACCTTTGACGCCTCCCTCTCTATGGAGGCGCAGGTTGCAGCTACAGCAAAGGCGGCATTTTTCCATCTCTGCCGTATTAAGCAGTTGGTTCCTTACCTTTCTCGCCCTGATCTGGCCACAGTGATCCATGAGATGGTCACCTCCAGGCTTGATGACTGTAATTCGCTCTACGCAGGGCTGCCCTTGAGGCTGACCCAGAAACTCCAGTGGGTGCAGAATGCTGCTGCGAGACTCCTTACAGGGTCCTCGCCGCGGGATCACATTCATCCAGTGCTTTACCAGCTGCACTGGCTCCCGGTGGAGTACAGGATCAGGTTTAAGGTGCTGGTTTTAACCTTTAAAGCCCTATATGGCCTAGGACCCTCGTACCTACGGATCCGCCTCTCCTGATATGCCCTGCGGAGGACCTTAAGGTCCATAAATAACAACACTTTGGAAGTCCCGAGCCCCAAGGAGGTTAGATTGGCCTCAACCAGGGCCAGGGCCTTTTCAGCTCTGGCCCCGGCCTGGTGGAACGCCCTACCGCAGGGACCCTCTCAACTCTAACTGGAGATGCTGGGGATCAAATCTGGGACCTTCTGCACACAAAGCAAGTGCTCTGCCATTGAGCTATGATCCTCCCCCACCTGCTTTAGTGTTGAGGGTCCCACAGAACTTTGCATCTGCCTAATCCAGACATTTAGGAGACATTGTGGAAGTGCTGCTGAAGGCAGCCAATTAACCAAGTTGAGACTGACAAAGCTAAAAAGAATTCCAACAGATACTGCCCGGCAGGCACAACTGCAGCAGGCTGAGGTTAGGTCCCATTTTCCAAGGGAGACTGCTTTGCAGTCACATATTGGCACAGGAAATAACCACATGGTAGGCCCTGCAGCAGCTCATTATGTAACTTAGCCCCCTATATGAATGAGCAGCAGCTTTCTAGCAGACATGTAACAATGAAATAATTTCCAATTATAACTTCAATTTAAAATGCACACTTTCCTTTCAAAGCCACCCAGCCTCTTGAAACAGGGCTGCTTAAGGCTGATATGAAACATTCTGCATTTAGAAGAATATCAATGCAGAGCAGGACAGAGGACAGGTGTACACTTGGCAATCCTAACTGGGATCCTAACCCTTATCAATATATGTGAAAAGTGCAATCAATGCATCGGAGTGAATTTTGTAGGTCACTAGATTTCTAAAGCTGTGCAGATATAGATGACAATACCTATACAAACCAAAAGCCAAATACTGCATCAGTAGTAGCTTGAGCATGTGTTTTCAAAGACAAATGTTTAACAGCTACATTAAGTGTACAGGTACAAGGCCCAATACATTTGCTCAACGCATAGCAGAGGAGCAGCCCAGCAAAGAACTGGAGTGCAAAAAAGAGGGAAGAGGTATACATAGCAACTAAGGGTAGAGTAAGTGCCTCATTCAATGGCTTTTCAATCTTACACCCTGCTTTCAAAATGTATTTAAAACTCTTTGTTGCAAAATAGAGAAGAGATGATCTGTTTTGTTTTTGTTCTTTTGACAGAGTATTAACCTGGACAAGCTGGTATATGGTGTCTACCAAAACATATTAAATTCTACTCATTAAAATCACAGCAGTTGTTTCTCTGATAAACACAACTTGCTTTAACTTGAAAATGTGAAACAACAACATCCCTCAAATTAAACTGTGCATTGCTGTCACAGCAATCCAAGAGACTTTTACCAATTATTTTGATTCCCTGTAGTAAAACACCTTTGAATATACATGCAAGCAAAAAGTAGGTCACCAGTATTATTCCACAATGTATCAAATCCTAGAAAATTAATCTGTTTATATGATGGGGAAAGGAAATGCTTGAAAAAATAGTTATTACCAAAAATCTGACTTCACCAGTTCCCTTCTAGGAAGCCCTTTGCAATTGTTATTTTCTCAGTAACTACCTTAAATCTTTCATGTTCTATTTCTAGGCACATGTAAGAGGACATCCCATCCTTATAAATGAAAAAGATCATCCACAGAAGTTGAGGCTATACCAAAAATTTGTCATGATAATAAAATGGTTTCTCATACACACAAGTCCTCAAAGTCCAGCATTTGAGACAAAAAATACAGGTGATTCCCCACTTACGAGGGGTTTACGTTCTGGCCTTTGTGTGCATAAGTAAAATGTGTAAGTGGGAAACTTCATTTTTTAAGTGGCTTTATTTTCCATTTCCACCCCCTGGGAGATGATTTATAATGAAATGAAAAGGGTATTTAAATATACCTTTCTGAAGAAACCAGAGGCCTTTCTCCTGGGCATGGTCGGCCAAATGGTGCCAAAGAAGGACAGAACTTTCTTTATGTATGCCACAACAGCAGCAAGAATACTTATTGCAAAGTATTGGAAGACACAAGACCTACCCACTCTGGAAGAATGGCAGATGAAGGTGATGGACTACATGGAATTGGCGGAAATGACTGGCAGAATCCGAGACCAGGGAGAAGAGTCGGTGGAAGAAGATTGGAAGAAATTTAAAGACTATTTACAGAAATATTGCAAAATTAATGAATGTTAGAAAGATGTTGGAATGAAGCTAGGTGGTTTAAGCAGTAATGCTATAAAGGTGTATGTAAAAAAAGGATTGATAACAGATGAAAATTTAAAGTTATAGTATATTAAGTTAAAGGATCATGAGAAAACAAAGAGGGAAAGAAATTGCTGACTTAACTAATTGAACTGGAATACAAAAAAGGGAGGTATGAGGAGGTCAGGGAAACAAGGATATGAATGTAAGGTATGGAAAAATTGATCCATTTTTCTTTTCTTTTTTTTCTTATTAAGTGTCTTTTATTCTTTTTTCTGTATTTTGTATTTTGTATTTTTCTTGTATTTTTACTTTTTGTTTTTGTGTAATTCTTTCATCCTCTGAAATTTTAATAAATATCATTTTTTTAAAAAAAGAGAGAAGCTGGGAAAATTGCACAGATGAGACCTGCTGCAAAGCAGCTTTCCTGCCTCTCAGCTGATGAGCACAGTAGTGCAGCAGCAGCAGCAGCAGCAGCAGGGGGCCCCACACACCTTTTTCAAGCCAGCACCAGAGCCCTGCTCCTTCATAATCCACAGAAAAATTCTTCCGGGCTCCGGGGAGGGTCACAAGGACTCTCCAGCTCTCTTCTGCCATTTCCAGGTTTGAATTGAATTATTTCCTAGCACAGCGCATAAGGGGTGTGTGTATGCTTGTACTGCATTCCAGTGATGAGGTATTAGATTCCAACGTGGAGTACAACAATTAATAGTCCCAGAGCTGATTAAATCCAGTTTGGATAGACCATAATGGAATTATAGAATATGGACCTAATGATTTAGATACAATGTAGTGAACAATGTATTATAGCAGGACTGTTAATCCTTCAACTTCCCCAATTTGAATAATAATCCTCTCCTAAACATCAAATTTGTGGCAAAACAAGTTTGTTCTAATCCAATCTTTTGTTTTATTTGTTTGTTTGTTTGGTCTTCAGCCCATAATACTCTTACAACAATCCAAAGAAGGTAACTATTAATATCTCTGAATATTTAGGCAGATATAAATAAAATAAAAGGAGGCAAAGCATACTGCCAAGAAGATGGTTGAAGAGAACCTACAGCCAACAAATGGACCTTGCTCCCTTTTTGTGAAGCCTCCTGTGTTATAACTGGGTGGTGGATAATGCTTGAATTATTTAAGTAAAAATATCCTAGTCTACTGATATAGGTGTTGTTAAATACCACTGAACAAATTAAATAATGAATCACTGATTACCTAAAATTGGCCCTTTGAATGATATAGATCACCTGTTTTTCCTTGCAGCACAAAAATATTATACTGCAGATGACTATTCTCACAGTACCATCACAGAATCACAAATCACAGAAAACCACCAATGTGTCACAGAATTACAAAATATTAAAACATTCAGTTACTATGGATGTTTGTATGTGATGCCAATAAAAGGTTTGATGACGATGAGAAAACATTCAGAAATGGCATTTAGAATAATATATGGAAACTGTGTTAATATATGGAAGCTATTAAGACGTGTGTAAAATGTACTGATCATTGGGAGTGGGAGCTAGACTTTTCAATGCAAATTACATACAAATCTGGCCGTACCTTACAGATCTTATATAGAGATTCCTGCCCCTCTCCTCCTGTATCTTTAAAATATTCATGAGCTGGGAATGTACGATGAACGTCTCGTGTAATGACACTCTCCTGGGATGAGTCCTGTGAAGAAAGGGAGAAAATAGCATATGCAAACTACACTTAAAATGAGGAAACCAAGATACTTCAACACAGAATGAAAACATATACAGTACTTGACAGATTATAACACTACCAGCTGGCCAGAAGGCTTACCTCAATTGCAGGATGGAATCCAGAACTCGTGCCCCATCTTAACATTTGCAGGAAATTATTAGCCATTTAATAGGGCATCAGTAGTAACTGCTTCATGCAGCCGCAAAACAAAACGATTAGTTTTGCTGCTTTGATGATACACTTTGGAGGAAGCCATGGTGGGGGGATTACTGACTATAATGCAATCTCTTGATATAAGCAAACATGTCCCACCATTTTCCTATTGGAAAACAGATCCCTCAGTTCAATTTGTATAAACACACCAGTTTGGGTATTTGTGTGTCTTTCATTTTTATATTTCATGGTCTATAAAACCCACTCTCCAAACTTCCCATGAAGGGGGCACAGAAAAGGGCCTCAGATGATGGTTGCAGGGTCCAGGTTAGTTCACATGGGGAGAGGTGGTCCTTGAGGTACTAGTGTCCATATCCACATAAAGATTTATAGATCAAATCAGCACTTTGAAAAGATTGGCTCCTTATCTCTCTCGCCCTGACCTAGCCACTGTGATCCACGCGACGGTCACCTCCAGATTGGATTATTGTAACTCGCTCTACGTGGGGCTGCCCTTGAGACTGACCCAGAAACTCCAGCGGGTGCAGAATGCTGCGGCGAGACTCCTTATGGGGTCTTCGCTGCGAGATCATATTCATCCGGTACTATACCAGCTGCACTGGCTCCCGGTGGAGTACAGGATCAGGTTTAAGGTGCTGGTTTTAACCTTTAAAGCCCTTCACGGCCTAGGACCCTCGTACCTACGGGACCACCTCTCCTGGTATGCCCCACAGAGAAATTTACGGTCTGCAAATAAAAACATCTTGAAAATCTCAGGCCACAGAGAGGTTAGGCTGGCCTCAACTAGAGCCAGGGCTTTCTCGGCCGCGGCTCCAATTTGGTGGAACGCTCTGTCACAAGAGACTAGGGCCCTGCGGGACCTGACATCTTTCCGCAAGGCCTGCAAGACAGAGCTGTTCCACCAGGCCTTTGGTCAGGGCGCAGCCTGACCCCCTCCTCTGGCAATCTGCACAGAATTTTGCTTAATGGTTGCCATCAATTTGATTTTAATTAATTTTATAATGAATGTTTTTAGAATGCTGGATTATTTTGATTGTTGTTAGCCGCCCTGAGCCCAGCTTCGGCTGGGGAGGGCGGGATATAAATAAAATTTATTATTATTATTATTATTATTATTATTCTGGAAACAAATTGGTAAGCACTGCAGACGTGCCAGATTTGGAGTTATATGTACTGAC